ATATATATATATATATATATATATATATATATATATATATATATGTACATATATATATATATATATGAATGATGATATTAATTATTATTTGTCTGTGTATTTTCTTTGTTAGTATTTTCTTTGTTAGTATTTTCTTTGTTAGTATTTTCTTTGTTAGTATTTTCTTTGTTTTGTTTGTTGAGATTTCTATTTCTGTTGCGAGGCTGAGGAGGCGGAGGATAGACGATTTTATAGATTCTTTGAATGCAGAAGTTAAACGCTTCAAACCAATCACTGTCGTTTAATCCTAATATACAATTAACAGTACATTGTCTTGTTCTTTGTATATCTTTAGAAGTTAAAGAGAAGAGTCCGAGGAGTGCAGCAATATCTGTAGGTTTTCTCGGTAAGTCTTCTATAGATACACCCATCGTATTTAATACTATTATTATTGATGCATTCATTAATGAAGCTTCATTTAATAACTCTTGAATATTTACTTTGTTTTCTGATAAACTGCTAATTGATATATCTAATATATTTACTACATACACCACACACCACACATCTACATAACGATAAAATGCATTCCATGCGCTTCTTAGCTGCAAACAAAACAAATAAATAAACAAATAAAATTAATTAATTAATTTATTAATTAAAATTAATTAATTATTGATCAATATTAGTTTCTAGTATTCATCTAATTAATTAATCTTCATACAAATAATTTCGTGCACAGATATTATTTGTTGCTGCTTTTATTTATTTGTTTGCTCTATTTTTATTTTTTTGTATTTGTTTATTTCGTCCTTCATTTTATTTGCTGCTTTTTTGTATTATGCATGCATTTGCAGTCTCCTCTGTATATTTATTTATATGTTTTGGTTTATTATATATATATATATATTTTATTATATCTGTCTATCTTTTTATATTAATCTTTTTATTTGTCTACTTTCTTTTAATATTATTATATTGTTTTATATCTGTCATTCTTCTTTTTAAATTAATATTTTTATCTGTCTGTCTTTTTGTGGTTTATTTCTTTAACTTTCTTTTTTATTCTTCTTTTTTATCTTTAATTCTTTTAACTTCTTTTAATTATATTTATATTCTCTTACCGCTGCATTACCAGACAAATCCCAAAAACCAATTTGGAGTTTGCCTTTTTGCATGCGCTCAAAATGAAAAGAAGTCGTAGGGGGTAAAACAGAAGAAGTTGTAGAAGTAGAAGAGCTCCACTCTGTAGATATAAAATAAATATATATATACATATATTTACATATTTATATTTATTTATATATTTGTCTATATATATATATTTATCTATATATATAATTGTATATTTATACTTTTATCTATGAAGTAATGCATCAAAGAGTTAACAGTTAAGGTAGCCTGCTGCTTGGACATATATATATATATATATTTATATATACATGTTTATTTGCGTATATAAGTATATATTTAGATATGTATATAAATATATAGGAGCACAACGACGTAAAGATTAGGAGGGAAGACGAAGAGAAGAAGAAGAGAGACAGACACCGACTTTGTTAAATAATTATTTAAACAAATAAAAGTAAAAATAAACAAAAGAAGAACAAAAGAAAAAACAAAACAGGCGGTGGGGGTCTTCATGTTGTTTAATTGCAGTTGAAAACAAACAAAAACACAAAAACAAAAACTAAAAAGATTTTCAATTCCATGCAAAAAGAATTATGTAAACCCTAAACCCTAAACCCTAATCCCCAACACAAACCTTAAACCCTCCTAAACCCTTATTTCAAACCCTAGACTTTAAACCCTTAATTCTTATCCCCAACTCCTAAACCCTAAACCCTCAACTCATCCCTAAACCGTAAAACCCTAGATCCAAC